TGCTTCTTCAGTGCTATCTTGGGGACCTGTGCATCATATTTCCTCGTGGTTATAGGAAGAAACATGAACTATTGTGAAAATATGTATCCTTTGTCTCGATACACGTACCTTAAATATAATAAAAGCTTCTCAAAAATGATTAAATCTCGTAGTCCCAGGAAGAAACTGGTACCCGGTACTCCTTCAACAGTTCTCCCTGGTTCTATTTGCAAGTTTGGCAGCTTTTGGCTCAACTTCTACTGCTGTAGAACTAAAATGCTGCAATGGGTATTGAGGATTATGTAAAACGTGAGAATTAATGAGATGGATGTCATTTTGTTTGAATGCAAATCAAGTGTCCATCAGTACTCCTCATCTGACAATAGCTGTAGCAGTAAAAATGCCTGCTAAAATGTTGTCTCCCCTTTTCTTAAGATTCATCTGCATTTGCAAAAAGTAGCTTTGAAAATGAGACAACTTTAGAGAGAGAAACCTGAATAGAGATCCCATTTCTCTGACTGAATTAAATTATTGCTATGGCACTACTTTGTTCCATTCAGTGAGCATGTACGTTCAAAAATTTTTCACTTCACATAGAAAAGAGGCATTTATTAGCAGCTGGAAAGAGCATGCTTCCAAGTAACTGGGTGCTGCTAGTACCACCAGGTGTTGACTTATTGGAAGACCTGAGGGTTCTTATTTTGCCCTCTTAATCCTGTTTAACTGTACGCTTCTATTCCCTGTGTGTATTGCAATCAGTTGGCAACATAGAATCCAATTCATTAATTCTGATGTCGAGAAACTAAAAGGTTAAGGTTTTAGAAAATAAACAAGAAATATAATAATCTAAATATGAATTCTACCCAGAGAGGAAATTTCATGACACTAAGTGATAAATTGCTGAAAATTATCAAACTGCTGATGCAACTTGTTGGCTTGTAATGGTATAAGACATTAGCTTCTAAAACTAAACTGTAGTATGTCTTTATTTTTCAACTATTCCAGAATTACCATCAAGAACTGCCATTCTGCTTATTTTAATAAGAAAAAGACACATTATGGATGTTCATAAAGTATATAAGTGAATGCAAGTTGAGATAGATATAGATAAATATGTAATATAGACATGCACGCACCTGTGTGTGTGTGTATATATATGTGTATATATATATATATGTAAATGTAGACTAGAACTAACTTTTACAGATGTTTGTGGGCTTTTCTGCCTGGGAATTTAGTTATAGAAGGATCTGTAGATTTCAATCACTCATCTGAGAAACTGGGATGTCAGATTCAGTAGAGGAGGTAGCTGCAATATGAGCTTTTACATGTTTGAAGATCCAAGGCATGATCTGTCTATGTAGATCAACTTTATGCAGGAGATTTGATGTGCACATGTGGAAAACATGACAAGATTGGAATGAGTTGGATGTAATGTACATGCTTTTGGTTCATGTGCAGATCCAAACGTACACCCTTTACCCAATAAAGCCAGTGTTCCCAGATCAGTGGGATACTGTATGCACATCAACCTATCAGTGCAACACACATACAGTCAGGCTAGCAGACCAGATTGACCATCCAACTCATTGTGCATGGAACATGTACAACCTATCTGAGAAATGCTTGGCATCATTTCTATAGCCATACACTTCCGGAATTATTTTTCCTGCTCACGTCTTTCACACTCCAGTCACCTGGATAAAGCAAGGCTTAAGCTTCCACCTTTCTTTCTTTCTTTACAGAAAGAAGACTGTTCCACAGCACCTGGGCCCTGGGTAAGAACTCTAGGCAAGACAGAGTTCCCTCATATCTCTTTTAAATCCCGTAGGTTTCTGCTGTGGAATTGCCCTTTGGATTAAAAATGAATCTTCTTTTCATTATGTGTGGGGTTTTTATCTGGGTCTTCTGGTTCTTGTCAACAGCTTTTGACCACCTTTTACCTGTATGAAAAATTAAGTCTTCCCTTGCTTATTCTTCTAAGATAACTGTCTAATTTTTATTTCTGATTGGCTTTATATAAGATTTCCTTCCTTGTTGAGGATGGTGGAAATGTGCTGTGGCTTATGTTTGTTTGATACAGCCCTTTCTGATCTAGAGGAAGACTTTAAACTTCTTGCTAGGGAAAAGGCAGAAATCTAATTAGCCTAGTCTGAGGGCATCTTAAAAGTCAAAATGAAAAAATATATCTAAAATAATTACTGAAGCATGTAAATACTGGAACTTTAGTTTGGTTAGTTTCTTAAACCAAATAAAGCATACAATTTCATCTGGGTGAATATCTCTGCATTCACAGCAAAGTCTTGTCATAATACACTGTTTCTTCTAAAACCTGGATGTATTGGTGGTTGTTAGCTAACAATGCCAATAGCAAATCACCAGATTGTTTGAAATGCCATGTCTCAAGGCATTGTTTCTTTGGGTATGGGGTAAAAAAGTATCTTTAATTCATCAATACATTTTTGTTTCTTGTCTGAATTGCTTAATCATCTCACTTAATTGCCCTTTTTTTTTAATTAAAAAAAAAAAAAAATCCAACACCTTTTGTGAAAGAAATTTCATGATCTGCAGGGTAAATTCTCTTGTAAAACAGTGAGTTCTAAGTTCTTCCTATAGTTCAGGTAGAATTCAGAATTCAAAGATTACATCTTTCTTGTGAAAAGTTGAATCCAATCTCCTGAGTAAATGAGTTTTTAAAACAGTGATGAACTGTTCTGAGATGAGCCATTGTTAAGGCAAATCTCTTCAGAACCATTTAATATTGTGCCTAATTCTGTTGGTTTCAGTTCGTTTGTGGCAGGAATGGATTTTCCTATTCAGATAGAAGTGGGAAGCTGTATCTGTCATAAAACCCTTGGTGGGGTGTTTTTACAGTGTAAAATGGGAGCTTAGGAGAGTTACAGTCTGGGGAAACTGGATTTGTTCTCAAATAACTGAAAACTGGTGTGTGTGGCCTTAATCCTTGGAACACATTTTCTTTTGATAGTGTTGCCTTCTGAAGAATTGGTAGGTCTTAGTGTATTTCCAGGTGACTGGTAGGGGGATAAGAGCAGATGAAACAAAGGGATAACAAAATATTCTCTTTCTCCTTTATAATTAAGTTCTTCAGCAAAACTGTTGTTGTTATAAAGTATTGAGCTATTAAAGGAAACTGAGTGGATTGAAGCACCATGAGTAGTCTGGTATGGAAATGTCTTTTTCAGCCTTTTTTTTTTCTTGTTATAATATTTTTATTAATGTCTGCTGTGTTCATTCTTTCATTTTTCATTGAAAAACATTTTGATGTTCCTTTGCCTGTTTTACATTTCTCTTCAAAGTTTGGTAGGGACACCTAGTTGTAATCCATAGCTTTTGGTTCAAACTGCTGTTCCAGAAAGTTCAGATAATTTAGGTGATCATAAATTTTGATAAAGGTGCTTCAAAATCAAACAGTGTTTGGTTTAAATGTAGTAGTTGCTGGTTTACTTCTGGGATTACTTTAGGACAGCTGGGAAACTCCAAGATAAACACAAAAATGAAATTTTATGTTTGAAATCCAATTCTGTGCAGAAAAAATTTTTAAGTCTTAATGATGAACGTATATTTTATTAATAGTCCCCAGCTGCAAGTTACAACTTCACTTTCCAGAAAGGAAAATGACTTTTAAATGTTTCATGTATGAAAGGATGAGATGAAAAACATCATCTTCCTGAAACAAATCGAGGCAAATAGTATATCAGGTATTGTATGTTTATTTGTAGGCTTCTTTACAAGACCTGTAAAATCTGAATAACTGAAAGATTTCCTATGAAGTAAGCCTACAGTCTCATCCATGAAGCTTATGATTTTATAGAGGGGAACAAAAAAGCACTAAACTGTTTTGCTGTAATCACTTGGGAAGTCTGTTGCATGACAAACTTAATTCAACTAAATGCTCGAAGTGATGACCAGTATTCCAAATTTAAAGAAAAATAAAGTACTGAAAAGTAAATGCATGCGGCTAGAAAATATTAAGGTTTTTATTAAAAGATTTTGTGTTGTAATGTCATATCTGTTCTATCTCTTGTTCAACTTTCCTGAATAAGCACAAATGGCTATTTTCAGGCTAGGTTGCTTCTTTTGATATCTTTTGATAAAAGCACATACCCATTAAATTTAGTACAGTTTATTGTAGGTATTTATTTAAAAACATTGGAATTACTGTGCCATTTAAGGTTAATGATTCCTCTACTCAGTCTACAGCAGGCAGGATAAGATGCTTCAGAGAAAGATGTATAAAAATGTGGAAACCGTCAGATACAGAATAAGAATAACCACTCCAGACAGGAAGCTTTTCTAACGTCACTCACTCATAGTCTGTTACTTGGCAGAGGAGTTTCAAATATTGGGTGGGACGAAAGTTGTCCCTTAGTTTAGTCTTATTTATTTTCCTTTGCAAACATGCTGGCTGGAGGAAAGTATAATTACTCTGTTCTGAGATTAGCTGTTTTTGAAAAGTGAACATTTGTTATGTTCTGCATTCCTAATCTGTATTGTATCATTAAGGTGTATATTGAAACCCAGCAGTCAGTAGTATGTTGAGTCTGTTACGTACAGTGCATCCCTTTGAAGAAACACTTAACATATTTTCAGTTAACAGAATGGAAGTAATGCCCTTCCCACCACCACGTCTGCATATCCATGTGTGCACAAATGTTTGCAGTACTTGTGCTCAGTGGCTGGTTGTTTTCTTGGTCAGGGAATGTGGAGGGAGGGAGGGATTTCTGATTGCTGCTGATTTTTGGTTTTGCTAAATATAATCACAGTCTAAAACATGCTCATACTGATGACAGTAGTTTCATACGGAAGCAAGTCATTTTCCTAAGCTATCTTCTTCCATTGTAAGATGCAGCTAGCCAAAATGATAACATTTGTTTTTAAAAGCTTGTCATAAATGGCTTATTGCTGAACCTCTGGAATACCAGTATTCTTAATCTAAGTTTTATTTTTCTATAGTGATGAATGTAATCTGTTTTGTGCTTATTATTTATTTTCTTTCAAAGGATGATTTGGAGGTGAAATCTGAGGAGCGTGCCAGTGTCATTCAACAACTTGAGCAAACTATTGAGGATCTGAGGACCAAAATTGCAGAACTAGAGAAACAGTTTCCTGCTGCAGAGGTACAGACTGCTGGGAAGGAGCAGGAAAATGAGCACATGCATGCAGTCTGTGGGGAACTCAGCAGTGTGACTCTTCAAACAAACAAAGAGGAGACTGTACCTAGAACTGTCTCACAAGCAAGATCTGTACAAACATCACCAACAGAGGATTATTTAACAATCACAATGCCTTCAGCCAATGCACTGCCGCAGCCACCCCCACACACACACTTAGAAGGGGGCAAAAGTGAAGGGCCAACTCAGAAATTGCCAGATCTAGAACTACAGCCCACATTTTGTTCTGAAATCTCCTTAATTCTGTCACCGAAGCTAATCTCAGTGCCATTGGATGCAAGCCAGTCAATACAGAGTACACCACCGTCATCTCTTCCAGGACCCAAAGTTAACTTGTCCTTTGCATTTGAAGGAGAGACTGAAATGTCAGCTTCCCATCAGCCTCTAAGTACTGTAGATGTGACTTGTAGTCAACATACCTTGTCTTTGTCCCCAGAGCTCACATGTAGCATTCCTCCATCACTGTCAGCCACTGAAGTGACTGCTGCCCTGTCTGGAGCACATGGCCCTTCACTTGCCACTCCCATGTCCATGGTAGGAGTACCATGCCCACCACCCCTGCCCACCTCAGGACTCCCTCCTGCTGGCTCAGCAGTGCCACACCTGGACCACTCTTTGCCAGGTGTCATGATGCCACCACTCCCTCCTCCTCCTCCACCTTTGCCAAGTGCAGAGATGCCAGTGCTGCCTCCAGTCCCATGTGATGGAGTCCCACCACCACCTCTGCCACCACCTTTGCCCGGGGCAGGAGTCCCATCCCCTCTGCCTGGTTGGGGTGTCCCACCTCCCCCTCCACCACCACCTTTACCTGGGGCTGGTGTCCCTCCCCCACCTCCTTCTCTGCCTGGCCTGGCAATGCCACCCCCAGCACCACCTCTGCCTGGGGCAGGACTGCCACCGCCTCCCCCACCTCTGCCTGGAGGGGGTGTCCCCCCTCCACCTCCTCCTCCACCACCTTTGCCTGGTGCAGGTGTCCCCCCTCCACCTCCTCCTCCACCACCTTTGCCTGGTGCAGTTGTCCCCCCTCCACCTCCTCCACCACCTTTGCCTGGTGCAGGTGTCCCTCCACCACCCCATCCTTTGCCTGGGTTGGGGATGCCACCTCCAGCCCCACCACCTTTGCCTGGAGCAGCACCACCCCTTCCAGCACCAACCCAGAGCAGCACCTACCCAGCAGTCCCCCAGGGTTATGGGTTTCTTCCTCCTCCATTACCATCTGGTTTATTTGCAATGGGGATGAATCAAGAGAAAGGGAGCAGGAAACATGTGATAGAGCCTTCTCGGCCAATGAAGCCTCTTTACTGGACAAGAATTCAACTCCACAGCAAAAGGTAAGTCGCAGAGTTGTGGAGAGTGGTGTTTTCACTTTATGGCTGTCAAGACAGTGTCATATGTTATGAGCAACTGTCTGTATTTACTGCTAGGCAGGTCTTTGTGAGAACCTCAGTGCAAACAGGAGTTTATTTGCAGTTGGGTATGTAAATGAGGTGTCTATTTTCTTTAAACTGCACAAACTCTTGTCCTTTGGGGTTACATACCACACGTTGATCAGAGATCTGGGGTGACTGTGTGCCACTAAGCGTTATGCGAGATGGTTTTTTAAATGTTGTATTTGTGCCTCCCCTTAACTTTCAAGAAAACAATTTCACTGGAGCAGCTTGCAAGTTTCGGTAGTGTCTTCCTTCTAGATGAATGTATGCAGAACGCATTTTATCCTCCTCTTTCCTTTCTCTAGGGACCTAGAAATCCCCCCTTTTTACCTTGCACACTCAGCAGGCAGATTCAAACTGCAATTTATTTGTATGACAGTATAAAGCTATTCTGGTAGCCCTTGTGTTGATGTGACTTTGATATACTTGGTTTTGGATGTTGATGCATTTTTTTTTGTAACATATCAGTCCTGTTCATGAAAAGAAGTTTCCTCGTTTATCTTTATGTCTCTGAGTATTGATTATAAAACCCTTCTGCTGTTATTTCTCTTTTCTTTTCAAGTTCTTGCCACTGTCACACAGGTAGTCTGGAGATAACTGTGTATTTCTAACTTCTCTTTGTGTCCATCTATGTATATTTTACAGCCTATATATATATTCCTATATATATATTCCTATGTATGTGGAGTGGGTGAATATAAATGAGCTTGACAATTATCGTGTGTGAACAAAGCAAACAAAGTATGAGGAAAAACAACAGCATATCTTATCAAAATACTGCTAGAAGAAGTTAGGCAACTTTTAAATTGCTGCTATTTTATTTTCTTCATTCCTCCATTTATGACCTTATTTAGTCTGACATTGCCCTACATAGGTCTTTTGCTTAACTTTAGAGATTCTAGTGCTTCACTTGTGTGGGAAAAAATTGAAGAGCCTTCCATAGATTATCATGAGTTTGAAGAACTATTTTCTAAAACAGCTGTTAAAGAGAGGAAGAAACCCATTTCGGACACCATTACAAAAACAAAGACTAAACAAGTGAGTATTTATTTAATTTCAGACCTTTTCTAGGCTAATTTTTACATAAAGACAGTTTTTTGCATGCAGCTGAGATTAATTTTGCTTCGTGTGAAATTGTTACTATATATATGCTCTATGTAGAAATATAAGAAAAGGAGAGAATGTAGGATGGGTTTCAAAGCTATATGTGTTAAAGACCAAAGATTTCTTTTTTATAAATTACTTTTCAAGTATGCATTTCCTTAAAGATATCTTTGCTTTATGCCCTTCAAAATTAACAAATACAAAACTAAAATAATTAGGTGCATATACGATGCTTTGAAACTGACTGCACATGTGTAATATATAAATTATTCTGATTAATTTTATAAATCGAGTTGCATATGAATTACCATGCCTTCAGAGAAAAATTATGTTTAAGAATCTTAAGTCCTAATGTTATACTAATCATAACAGTTTTAAGCTTGTGGTGTGTTTTTATATATATATATATATATAGTGAATATGATTCTTATGCATATAATAAACGACAAGCAGAGTTGGGAAAACCCAAGATTAATCAAACTAGTTTCTTGGGGTGGTGTACAATAAAATAAAAATAGGAAACATCTTTTAAATGTAGAAGTTCAAACCCTGGGATAAGATAATTGAATCTGAATGTTTACATGACTGAAGTGCTGTAAACTTCTTGGTATCTGTGTGGAAATCAAATTGTGATGGCATGATAAGTAATTTGCAATTAAAATTTCAGGCTGTAGAGGAGCATGTTAATATGCAGAATCCTAAACAGCAGTTAAAGTTCTGGTTTTATCTTTTCTTCACATTCCTGGACTCCAAGACTAGGCTGTTCTTTCCATCTTTTAACATACAGGTTAACGGTATACAAGATTTTTTTTTCCACACTAGATATACAATGGGACTCTCCAAAATCTCCATGGAGTAGAATTTAGGTTTGAATATGACCTCCCCACCTAGTAGTTCTGGAGATCTTCCCTGCATAGACACATTTTGGTCAAAATATAAGCATGCGGATGCTCTTTAGTGTGTTGGCAACCTGCTGCAGGCAACAGAACTGGTAGTGAAGTTAGGAAGATTATTTCAAGGTGTTGGATAAAACCTTTATCTGGGTGGATGGGAAGGCTAGTGCAGCTACACTCTTCTGGCTGTTCATCATGTACCTACATGCTGTACTAGGCTGTATTAACTGGGATTGGAGAAAAGGTAATGGTGCTGCTGCTACCTTGCTGTCCTGTAAGAATTCTCTAGAATGTAAGATCTTTGTTCTTCCTTCCTCCTCTAGAAAAAGCCCCTTTTAAAGGTTATTCTTAACTAATAAGCTCTTAAAGTGAAAAAAGGAGTGCAAAGGTATACCTGATGCATTGTCTATGAACTGTTGGTCCACCACATTTCACAAGGTTGGTGATGCAAATCTCTAAAAAGAGTAGAAATTATGATTGTTTAGTTCTGTAACATAAACAGTGGTTGAAGACAAACAGCAATTACAAATAAACATTGGAGTGGATTTTAAAACTAAGAGTATTCATTTTTCTTGCCATGCCAAAAATGTAGATACCTTATCAATAAATAAATAAGATGTGGATAAAACTAAGTGAAAATGACTGATTGTTCTTAATTTTTTGGAAAAGAACAAGTTGTCTATCACAGAAATTTCCACACAGAATTTTTAGCAATCTAAGTAGGTGCCATCATCTAGAATAAGCATTCCTGTGGGCCACCTAGATTGACAGGAGAGAATCCCGTTAGTTTACCTTCCTCTGGTGATCAAACAAATGTACTGCTCTCCAAAAGAGGAAGAAATTGTCTAATGGCGAAGTCTGATTTGTTAAACTGTAGTATCTGGGGGGAAAGATCAGCTGGAGAGATAATCACAGGCTTTCATTAGAACTACAATTAGAGCTATCATTTATTGTAGATGTCAAGTTAAGTGTTCATTTGTGCAAGTTCAGTTTGGGTTTTTTTTATAGTATTGACATGAGACAACTGAAGCAGAACAGCTTCACAAATATATTCAACATATATCCTCTCAGCAGTTTGGAATGCAGGCCTTCATTTTTTAAATTCTCTTCATTTATGCCGCAGTAAACACTTGGATAATGAAGTCCATCCATGTTTAGCAGAAGAAACAGTTATTTGGGGAAAGCATGGCTGTAATTCCATAAGTATGTTTTTATAGGAAGCACCAAGTGCTGTTTAAGTGGTTACTGACTTACGTAGCTTCTATGATAGTTACGGGTGTTGTAAAGATCTTACAAATAGTGTTTCTGTAGTAATTTTTACAGGGACATGTTATGCAAAGCAGATGTGTTCTGTCACCTGTTGAGCTATGGAGGAGGGTTGTACAGAATAGAACCAAGACCCACAAAGCTCACTCTGCTACTTTCCAGAAATTCTTTAATCTGGCAATAGCTTTTCCTCCTTGCAATAATGTGTGGGTGTGCTGAGTGGATGTATTGCTTAGATGGATTGGATGTAAAATACTAGCTACCCTGAAAATAGTAGTCGGGAAAAAATGCCCAGATAACCTTAATGCATAAAATATTTGGTACTCTATGTAAACATCTGATTTTAATAAAACAATGTTTTTACTGTAAACTGGAATAAAAATGTATTTACAGTGGAGGCCACATGGCAGGGAGAGGGAATTCTAGCTAATTCGAAGAAAGATTTGATAGTTTTCGGATGTTTTAGTGGGTGAAAGATTAATTTTTTTTAAAAGTATGCTGCTGTTCTTTACACAGAGTTATTTATGCTGTATGCCATAGAATATATGCATGATTTGCTTGTGGATATACATAGATATGCACGATATAATTATTTCTAAATGATAACCCCTTTTTAAGTGGTAAAACTATCTACATTGTTGTGTGTTTGGGGTTTTTTGAGTTAACAACTGAGTTAATTTCACCTTGCCCAAATATTGGTTCTAATTGTTTTTCCCTTGGCACGACCATCTACAAATAATGTAATACAATATAAATCAATAATGATTCAAAAAAATAAGTATTACATCTCACACTGAATCAAGGTCAAATTAAAATCCACTCCAGAACTTCAAAGGGAAAAAAATGAAGTGTTAATATTTATTTGTGAATGCAGCTGATTTTATTCTTACTGTCTCTCATTTGGTGCTATGGTAAAAGCTGTGATTTATTTTGCTCTGTTAATACATATATGTCAAATTCTCAGCTGCTGTAAATGTGTGCAGGCTCACTCAATGAGAATGCCTACTAAATCTTCAAAGAAAGTCCTTTATGGGCTATATTATAGGTGGGGCTGCCATTGCTACCTATTAAAGTGGTCTGGCTTTCATTACAAGTCCCTGTTATAACTTTGCCAAAATTTAGCTCTTTAGGCTGCAAGTTTTGTCGAGTTAGGGTTTTTTTTCCCCACACTGGGTGTCTCCTTCATTTAGCCAATGTTAAGAAAGAAAACAAAGTCTGGTTTTGCTCATGTCCACATAGTTTCATAGACAAAATGTGGAAAAATTTTATCAGATACATGTCGTCTTAGTTGTGTAAAGGGTTTCTTAAATTTTGCCACTCTGCATCTCAGTTTCTGTGGCTCAGGAGAGACTTCAGGTATAATTCCAAAGATTTTTTCCTAACCTTGTGCTGACAGTCTGAAAAACAGGGACCAAGAGGAGAGAGGCAAAGGAAGATTAAGAAGTGTAATGAGATGAAGTGAAGAACTGAGGAGATCTGACAGGTGGAAATATAGAGCATGATAGGTCTGATTCTGTGTCACCTCTTATTCTGACTGAAGTAATTTCTCTCAAACTTCTTGGGAGCCTGGGGTATTCTGGACCTAGAAGTTCTTTTCAGTAAACAGTGGATCTTATCAAACATATGGTGTTTGACCCAAGCAAAGGGTGAAAACCTGCTCTTGGAGTGTCTTGTTCAGCTGTGCCATGTAATTATAATATTAATTTTGGTTATATGGCTGGATAGGATTTTTTGTAGGACCCTTTCAATAGCTAGCATGGACTGTGTGGAATGAAAAAAAAAAAAAAAAAAAAAAATTATCAGTTGTTGCAGCACTTTAAAATCATGTAATTAGTGAAACAGGAAGAAAAAGGATAGACTTATAATTAAGGCTTACATACTCAAGGATGACGCTAAATGCAATATTAAAAATGTACTTACATGGCAAACATTGGCCAGTGTGCACTAAATGGTTCAATGGAAAAGTGGCACAAAATCAGAAAATCTTGATATCTCTGTCAGGATAACGAGTATACAGAAGGGGTTGAGCTGATTTGCATACGTTGCTTTCCTAAGTTTTGAACAGTCATCTTAGAAGCCTTACTGATAATCCTCTAACCGTATTTTTGGAAAATAACACACATGTAACTGCAATGAACTTTTCAAGAGCAGACCATGTGTTTATAATTTATCATGTAAACAAAATAAAAATGTTAAAGATATTCTCATATGGAAAATCTCCTATTAATCTATTGACATTAACATTTGATCTTCAAGGTCTTTTCCAACCTAGATGATTCTCTGATTTTAATCTCCCTCTTCCACCCCAGCAAATAAATAATAGGGTACTAAAGTTTCATTCTGTTTCAAAAGTCTTAGATGCAAACAAGATGTATCAATAAAACTGTTTAGTTAATGATTGCAGTATTTTTGAATTTTTAAGTCGAACATAAAGAAGCTGTGGTAATAGAATATCCCTAGAAATAAAATGCCACATAAAATAAATACAAATTGGTAAATAAGGTAAATGTCATATTGAGTTAACAGATAAACTTTTATTCATTAACAGGGAATGACATAAAGGGAAAAGTAATTTTCTGAAAAGGAGGGTTTATTCACTCTGCAAACAGTGGAGGCACTGTCTTAAGGACCTTTCTGTACCCACACTTCTTGATCTATTACCTGTATCAATGGCACAACTGTTTGCTGTGATCATATGTACTCTCCACAGATACAGTTTGGGTTCTGCTGCCCCCACAGACAGGAATATTAAAGGACTTGACTGATGCATCTTTT